CAACCATCTATAACTCCAGTTCTAAGAGACCTGGTGCCCTTTTCAGGCCTGTGAGGGCACAGGGCATACATTTGGCACACAGATATACATGCAGACAAAATACTCATACACACAAAATACTAGTATGTTATAAAATTGTAGAAAATCATCAGGAAAAAAAAGTAACTCATCAAGCCATACCACCTTTGGGTATAGACAGTCAATATTCTGGCATGTGTTAGTCTAGCTGATTCTTCCCTGTGGTAAACACGCTTTGCGATCCCCCTTTCCACTGTGTAGCACTGATTATTATATACCTGTTGTTTCAAGTAGAACGGAGAACGAATCTCTTTAATAAAGACACTTGGGGCAGGAGAACTGTAATTTGTAGCCATGTTCCTTTACTGACCAAAAAAGGGGGCGTTCCCCCCTCCTACCTTGCCCCCACCTTTTCCTGTGCATCCCCCCTTCTTCCTGGACTTGAATATAGAAAAGTTCTAGTCAAGAAGCAAGCTGTAAGTATCTTTAAGGGGCTGGAGGGATGGCTCAGCCATTGCAGAGTACTTCCTGCTCTTGTGACCTGAATTTAGTTCCTAAGGAAGCACTTGTGTCCATGGCTCACTACTGCCTGTAACTCCAGCTCTGGGGCACCAGACATTCTCTTCTTGCCTCCTGGGGCACACACACAAATACACATAAATAAAAATTAAGTATTGTTAGTATTGTTTCAGACATGATAAACTTTGTTGTAGTTCTTGGAGTATCTTGGCATAGAGTGTAGGCTGAGGGGGTGTGAAGTTGTTAATGAGATAGGTCAGTGAGGGAGATGAGAACTAGAGAGAATCTCGGCTTGGAAAGGCCTTTTTAAAATGCCGAGAAGTTGAGGCTGTTGAGTTGACTCAGCAGATAAAGACACCTGTGGCTGAGTTTGGTTCTGGAACCCATATGGTAGAAGGGAGAACCAACATTGGCAGGCAGTTTTCTGACTTCATGGGTAACATGGTGTCTGCATTTTCCAAATAATTAAATCAATAAATGTATGTAAGAAAACAGTGAAAATGTGGACAAACTAAGGATCAGTAAGGTGAGTTTCTTCAGACTGATGATTCACAGAAGGACCAGCTTCATTTTTAAAAGTGACTCTCTGTGCTGTGCAGGTGGAGTGAAGGAGGTGGCTGCAGCATGTCCTGCTAAAAGCCAGCTTGATGCTTAAGGAACTTGCAAGCATGACTGCTTTGTTTTTCTTTTTCTTTGCTCTTTAATACAGGCCTCATGTATTCCAGGCTGCCTGGAACTTGCTATGTATCCTAGAATGGCATTGAACTTGTGATTCTCTTGTCTTGGTTTCCCTGACCATGGGATTAGACATGTTGGGAAGTGGGGTAGCTCTGTGTGTCAGAAATTCAAGATCAGCCTCAACTACATAGCCAACCTTGTCTCAAAACAAAGAAACCAGCACACAAAGTACTCCCCACAGAAGTTAGCAAACAAACAAGAAATTTAGTACAGCATAATAGAGTCTCTTTGGCAGCTTGAGCCTCTAATCCTGGCACTGTGGGGGTGGAAGAGGCAGGAGGATGGGGAGTTCAAGATCATTTTCAAGTATGTAAGAGTTTGAGGCAGCCTGGGATATATGAGACATGCTTTTTTAATTTATTTCTTGAAAAAAATTGTTTTATGTGTATGTGGATGTTTTTGTCTGAATGTGTACCACTTGCATGCCTGATGGCCTTGAAGGAGGTAGAGATAACTGTAATCTGATGTGGGTGCTGGAATTGGACCTGTGTTCTCTGGAAGAGTAGCCAGCATTCTTAATCACTGAGCCATCTCTCCAGCCTGAGACACATACCTTTTTTTTTTTTTTTTTTTTGGTTTTCGAGACAGGGTTTTCTCTGTGTAGCTTTGCGCCTTTCCTGGAACTCACTTGGTAGCCCAGGCTGGCCTCGAACTCACAGAGATCCGTCTGGCTCTGCCTCCCGAGTGCTGGGATTAAAGGCGTGCGCCACCACCGCCCGGCCCCTTTTTTTTTTTTTTTTTTAAAGTTCCATGTTTCTTAGGTTCAGGGCTCAGGTTAAAAAAGAAAAACCTAACCACCTCCTTTTATAATCATTATCCCTCCAACTTCCTTTTCTACACCTGTTTGATTGCTTTGAGAGGATATAGTTAAGGTAATCGATCCTTCAGAAAGGTCTTGATCCTAACCCTCAAGAGCCATGGGCTTATTTGTGTTTCTTTTCCCCTCTTTCGTTTTGAACTCCTAGAGGAGCTTAACTCTTATCTTTGAACCAGAAGAAAGCGTATCGGGGCAACAGATCTGGATTCATGGTAGATGATGGAATAGGAGAAGGGTCTCCCTTTTTTAAATCTTTAGTTATTTTTTTTTCTTCCATGATAGGGTTTTTTGCATGCATGTAGCCTTAGCTGTCTTGGAACTTGCTCTGTAGACCAGGCTGGCCTCAAACTCAGAGATTAGCCTGCCTCTGTCTCCTGAGTACAGGGACTAAAGGCGTGCGCCACCATTCTGAGTAACTGCCTTTTTTTCCCCCTTTAATTTTATGTGTTTGGGTGTTTTGTCTGCATGTATAGCTGTGTGTCATGTATGTGCCTGTGCCTGGTGCCCTCAGAGGCCAGAAGAGGATGTCAGGTCCCCCGGAACTAGAGTTTGGACGGTTGTAAGCTGAGCCAACCCTCTCTCCCCGAGGAGGATTCTGATGCTGGAACTCAAGTCCTTGTCTTAAAAGCACTTTGGCTCTCTGAGCTACCAAGTACAAAGTTCTCTTAAGTTTAGTCTCCTTTATATCTTAGTAAATACCACGTGTAGTATAATTGACTAGGAGGTACTGGGAAACAGGGTAAGATTCTCAGTTCCTATTGATGACCATGTGATCTGGGATAGCTTTTTGTTTATGTGTAGGAAGAGTTTGATCTCTTAGAAATATACTTTAAAGACTTACTAACATCTGTTTTTATTCATTTATTTTGAGACAAGGTCTCACTGTATAACCCTTGATATCCTGGAACTCACTAATTAGATCAATCTGGCCTTGAACTCACAGAAATATAGCTGCCTGTTTTCCTAGTGCTGAGACTAAAGATGTACACTACCACTGATTGACTTATTTGTTTGTTTTTAAGACACAGGGTCTCATGTAACCAGTCTGGGGTGAACTTCTTATGTATTCAAAGCTGACTTTATGTTGCCTTCTCAAATCCTGAGAGAAAATTATTTATTTATTTATTTTAATTTTTTTTTTTTTTAAATTTTTTGAGACAGGATTTCTCTGTGTACTTTTGGTACCTGTCCTGGATCTCACTCTGTAGACCAGGCTGGCCTCGAACTCAGAGAGATCCGCCTGGTTCTGCCTCCCTAGTGCTGGGATTAAAGGCGTGCGCCACTGTCCGGCTATTTTTATTTATTTTATGTGTGTTGTAGGGGGAGGTGTATAAAGAGGCTTGCCTGTGTAGTGGCATGCGTGAGGAGGTCAGAGTTTGACTTATGGGAGTTGGTTCTCTCCTTCCATTAGGTGGGTTCCAGGGATTAAATTCAGGTGGTCAGTTGTGGTGGTAAGTACTTCTATCTGCTGAGTCATCTTGCTGGTCTGCTTTAAGAATTGCTGATTAACTTTTTGCTTTTAATTTTTTAAAAAAAGGCGCTTATTAAAATCTTATTGGGCTAGGAAAAAGGGCCAGTTAAAGTGCTTGTACTGCAAGTGTGGGCTTGAGTTTGGATCCTCAGAACCATGTGAGGTTTGGATGGATGTGGGGTGCCACTGTAATCCCAGCACTGGGAAGGCAAGGGTAGAGCTCCAGAGTAAGCTGGCTAGCCAGACCAGAGCTCTGGACTCAGTGGAGAGATTGTATCACCCACAACCCCCATCCCCACACGCGCCCCCACATGTGAGAAAGAAATTAAAATAGTCTTATTTATCTTACGGGCATGTTTCTTTACAGGGGTCGATTTTAAGCGGTCATTTGAACTTAGTTCATTAGAGGCTTATTTATATATCTATTCATCGTTTTGTGAATACAGAAATTGTTTTAATTAACTGTTTGGTTTTATTTATTTACTGGATTTTTGGGAGGTGAGTGATAGGGAGACTGGGTCTGACTTTGTAGCCTGCTAGCATTTAACCAGAGAGTCTTCAACTTCAGGAATGCTGGGATTACAGTTATGGGCCACCACACTCAGATGTCAGTGTGACTTGAATTTATTTTTTATTATTATTATTATTTTTTGTTCCTCAAAGGCACCTGATAGGAGATTAAGGAGTTGCTATGGCTGAAAGCTAGAAGATGTTACAGTTGATATAAATGTTTATCTGATTTCTTTCAGTCATTTGCTGTTATTTGATTTTCTAATATTTTTTTAATATCACCACTATGCTTGGCTGTGTCTTTTGTGTGTGTGTGTGTGAGGGTGGTGTATATTATCATTTAGTTAAAGGAAGAAGTATTTTTTTTTTTTTTTGGTTTTTCGAGACAGGGTTTCTCTGTGTAGCTTTTCGCCTCTCCTGGAACTCACTTGGTAGCCCAGGCTGGCCTCGAACTCACAGAGATCCGCCTGGCTCTGCCTCCCGAGTGCTGGGATTAAAGGTGTGCGCCACCACCGCCCGGCAGGAAGAAGTATTTTTAAGCCTTTCTGTCATATAGTGTCTAGTCACTTTCTGGGTATTACGTTTTATCAGTGTTATATGAGGATGTTCAAGTGATTAGTACAAACTAAAGGGAGAAAAACAGAACAGTGCTCTATGTGATATCACGAGTGTGAGCTATTTTACCCTTGACATAAAGGACTTTATTATTTATTTTTGGTTTTCCGAGACAGGGCTTCTCTGTAAAATAGCCCTGGCTGTCCTGGACCATTTGTAGACCAGGCTGGCCTTGAACTCACAGATATCCCTCTGCCTCTGCCTCCTGAGTGCTGGGATTCAAGGCATGCACCACCATGCTTGGCTTTATTTTTTAATAAATAAATTATTTGGGTTAATTTCCGCTGGATTTGGTTTTATTCTGCTAAATAGGAGATTTGATGAAGAGCGCTGCTGGGGAGTTTGCGGATGATCCATGCTCTTCTGTGAAGCGAGGGAACATGGTGCGAGCAGCCCGAGCTCTGCTCTCTGCTGTTACTCGGCTCCTGATCCTGGCTGACATGGCAGATGTCTACAAATTACTTGTTCAGCTGAAAGTTGTAAGTTTGGGTCTATATCTAAAATGCTGTTTTTTGTATGTTTCATAGTGAAGGTGATGCCGACCATACTTAGTTTAGCATTAAAATTTAGTTTGGTTTTGAACCAGTGATGGCTTTGTTCGATTTCTTCTTCTCTATTTCAAGTATATATACGATACTCTGCTCTAGGCCACTGTAGTCTCCGTTTAACTGAAGAAACTGTAGCAATCCCTTTTTGTAATACCCATTATATGTTTCTGTGTACTAATAATAGTGTTCTATAATTAGAAAACCAAAATAGAAACTGATAGGTGCCCCCACCTCCTTCGAAGCACGGTATAGTAGGAGGTTTATCAGCTACATATATTTGCTTGGATTGCTTGCTGAATAGTTGTTAAAGAAGATGGAGTCTTAGGATTTAGTCTTTTTATCTAGAGATTTGTCTGTGTTGGAGTTTTTACTTTTGGGGTTGTGTTTTTTTAGGTGGAAGATGGTATATTGAAATTGAGGAATGCTGGCAACGAGCAAGACTTAGGGATACAGTACAAAGCTCTGAAACCGGAAGTGGACAAGTTGAACATTATGGCAGCGAAAAGACAACAGGTACAGGCATGATTTGCAGACATTTTGTAATGTTATTTATTTCTTATTTCTTTGTTTGTTGAGACAGGGTCTTACTATGCAGCCCTGGTTGACCTCGAACTCACTATATAAAACAGGCTGGAGAGTATTTTATTATCTAGTGGAGAAGACCCGGTTTGCCCAAGTTTTCGAATGGTATCATGACTTTCCCCCGTTCACGTGGTTTCAGTAAGTGCTTAAATTAAGAGATACCTTTTCAGCTCGGCTGCAGTGGCACATGCCTTTAGTCCCAGCACTCGAGAGGCAGAGGCAGGTGGATATCTGAGTTTGAGGTAAGCCTGGTCTACAGAGTGAGTTCCAGGACAGCCAGGGACACATAGAGAAGTCCTGTCTTGAAAAAAACTTAAAAAAAAAATAATAATTTTAGTACTATGCCAGTAGCAAAGCTATAATTAACTTTCACTCAGATTTTCATAATATGCTTCTGTTTTAAGTAGTTCAAGGCTGGCCTTAAACTTGTGATCTTCCTGTCTTATATATTCTTTCAAACGTTTGAATGCTGGGATTAAAGGCATGCACCAGGATGTGTGGCTAGATGCTATTTTTGAGGTAAAACATAGCAGCAGTTCAGAATTTGTGTCTAATTGTAGAAACTTACTAGAAAGTAATTTTGCCTGAGTTAATTTTTCTGTGCCCTGAGTCCTAAAACATAGCAGCAGTTCAGAATTTGTGTCTAATTGTAGAAACTTACTAGAAAGTAATTTTGCCTGAGTTAATTTTTCTGTGCCCTGAGTCCTTTAGGAGAGTTCCTTATATGTTAGTGGTTCTCAACCTGTATGTCTCCACCCTTTGGTGGATCTCTAGTTCTTAAAATATTTACATTACAATTCATAACAGTAGCAAAATTACAGTTAGGAAGTAGCAATGAAATAATTTCATGGTTGGGGTCACCACAACATGAGGAACTGTATTAAAGGGTTACAGCATTAGGAAGGTGGAGGACCACTGTTATACATGATCTCAGTGTGTCAAAGAGAAATATCAGTAAATGTTAAATGTTCTTGAAATAAGGTACCAGGAAATCTTCGTTTCTCTGTGTCTGTTTTCTACCCTTGTTTGCTCTTTCCTGCCTCAGGAACATAACCTTTCCTTGGCTTCCTGTTGAGGTTTGGCCAGTGGAAACATGATCAGAAAATAGGAAGAGAAAGAGTGAGGCTGAGGTGCTGTGTATAGGCCCTGTCCCTGCTGCTCGTCCTAAGTGGCTAACGGCACACTCTGTACCCTGCTTCTAGATTATGGTGACTGCCACTGCCTCTTGTTCCTTCAGACCTAGTGTTCCATTAGCCTCATGTTACCCTTCACTGTGCATCTTCCTTTGTAGCAGTCTTCATTGTAATTTTTCATTAAATTGCCTGTTTTCCTGTTGAGATTTTGAGTGATACATGCTTCATCTTCTTGGGTTGTCACAGATTATGCTTAATTCACCCTGCCCCATCCAGGGATTGGATTTAGGGTCTTGGCAAGGGCTTTACACTCAGCTACATTCCTGAATGTAGTTTGCTTAGTTCTTTAATTCTTTTACCTTTAGATTTGTATTTGGCTCATGGTTCTGGATGTTTGGGACGTCCAAGAGCAATGTGCCATTATCCAGCAATTGAGAAGGTCCTTCTTCCTGCATTGTAAGCAGGCAGCCAGCATCCTTTGTCAAGACTGCTCGGGCCTATCTCTTCTTGCCTTGCAAAGCCACTAACGTCATGATAGGGGTTTCACTTTTCATGAAGTATTTGATTTCTGTTTGCTTCCCAAAGGCCCCATCTTCAGTATTAATGTCATTTGGGGCATTGTTTCCAAGATAGAAACAGAGGGGTTGGGTACATGAATACCGTAGCAAGAGTAAAGGTGAGGCCAGAGGGAAGGGTGGGCCTGTGCAGTTTGTAAAGAGTGCCCTTGGGCTTCCCTGTTAGCTGTGCTTCCTCAGCATACAGATGTGTGATGTTCAGGTGTTGCCCGTTCAGATGCAGAAAGCTTTTTGAGATCTTTAGGAGAACCTAGTGCCTCTTTAGCTAGTTTGCCTACCCTGACTTGCGTGATTGTTTGCTGAAACTCCCTCCCGACAGCTGTGTGGTGATGGTTCTGTTGGCGGTTTACTTGTTAAAATCTGTGCTAGTTGGGCTTTTGGCACGTACCAGGTATAGTCACTTTTATCCAGAAATGTCTGGTCAGATGTATCGATGGCTACAGTTCTATATGGTCAAGAGGGAAATGGGAAGAAAGTCTCACTTGGATTTCGAGTTGTTTTAGTAGAGTCTGTTAGATGACTTAGAGGTTAGCTTTTGTTTCTTGGTCACAGTGTGTGGGATGGATAAGTCAGATTTATGGGAAGTAGTTTTTCCTCTGTATGTTTGCTGATTGTCCTTAGTTTGCTTGAGCTGTAACCAGATTGGCGAAGTTCAGAAATCATGACACAATCAAGAACAGAGTTCTTCTATAAGTAACTTGTCATGTTGCTTTATAGCTGACTCTTCACCAAAATTTATATTATTAATCAGCACTAGGTAGCTTGAAGAATACTTTTTGATTGATTTATTCATATTACAACACTGATACTCACATTAGTGTCCATTTTCCTATCTTTTAAGAAAAACTTTGGGGGTTAGGGATTTAGCTCAGCGGTAGAGTGCTTGCCTAGCAAGCACAAGGTTCTGGGTTCGGTCCTTAGCTCCGAATAAATAAATAAATAGATAGATAGATAGATAGATAGATAGATAGATAGATAGATAGATAGGTTCTGGGTTCGGTCCTCAGCTCCGAATAAATAAATAGATAGATAGATAGATAGATAAATAAATAAATAATTAAAAAAGGGAAAAACTTTGTTTCCTGTCTTTTAACAAAAACCTTGTACAAGGTGGAAATGGCTCTAAAGAGGGAAAGTAGAACTTTAGAACTAGGATAAATGAGATTTGGTTGTTTTTCTCTTCCTTGTTTAGAATTTATCCCTGATGCTTGGCAGATGAGAATTTGTTCAGAAAATGTTCCCAGAGAAAATACGTTCTGGTTATTTCAGCGTCATGATTAGCCAGTTGCCTCTTATACTTGATTCTTGAGATGACCACCAACTCTCTAAAGCCACGAGATAATTTTTTAATATTTAGCCCAATATAGTCTTTGGAAAAGTGGAAGTTTATTGTCCTAGGCTAGTCAGTGGCTTAGGAAGGTACCTGTAAACTTTAGGTGACCGTGAGTGTGTGATAGCCTTTGTAAGGGACTGTGCTGCTGTATCTTTTAAACACATAGGAACATTAAGGCTGATTGTACAGTACAAATGTTTAAAGGGAAATATGGCCCTAGGAGGCTTAAGAGGTTCTTGGCATTGTGGTGAGAGCAAAACATTTAGAAAATACCCACAGAATGTGCACACCACATGTTTAAGCCCAGTGTTAGCCACAGCCCCTTGTCATAACTTGGGCACTCCAAATCTATAGGATCCTGTTTCTGACTATGTAGCCTAATGTAGTAACTACAGGTCATTCAGTGTGCTGTGAACTATTACTCAAATATTCAGGTTCTAAATGAGAAAAGAGTTCTAGGTAGAAAAATAAGCTGTCATTGTGCAAGGTTTGAATGAAGATGTAAACCCCCAAATGGAGATGAAGTTTCAGAAGAAACCCTGTTTTTGTCACAATGTTTAATTAAGAAGTCATCTAGAAAAGAGAGCCATTAAATAGCCAAGTCAGACTTTTGAGTAAACTTAACTTTTCTCTTATTGTTCATACATGTAATACTAATCTTAAAATCCTTTAAATTTGTATTCTAGTATTTAGTTAGTGTCAATACTGAAAATTTAGGTTCATATGTAAAATACCGTTGGAGCAGATTTAGAGTTTGGGGTTATTTCTTCCTCTGTAGTGATCCAGATTTATCAAAGATTCCTGTGTTTTTAAGTTTCAGTAATGAGTGGATGCCAGCAGTGCTCCTTCCTGTCTTGTGTGTCCTAGTTACCTAGCACACCCATCCCACTTAGTGTTCTAGATGTCATTAGTTGGAACAATGCCAGCAGCCTCATGTCCTTGTAATTATGGGGTAGAGGAAATGAAAAAGGACATTTTCACTTAAGATCACATTTATAGAATAATACTATTGTGGATTGAAATCATGGAGCATATGAACCTTTACTTTGTGACTTAATGGCCAGTGACCTGATTGATCTTTCTTTGTGAAGAGAGTATTGTTTTATATTCTGGAATGTTCCTTTGGGCAGGAAAAAGGGGAGGAGGTGTTGTGTACTTAAGAGAACAGCTGGTCATATCCATCCCTAGTTGGTTTGCAAAGTTCATACACACAGAAATTTAGTTGTGTTCTAAATTTCATAAAATTCTTATAATGAACTTAGATAACTTAAATTCTCTTATTTTCTTTTATATGTCTGTGTGGACTTGTATATCTGTTTTAGTTATATGGACCTGATCAAGATGCTACGTAGTTTTATGTTGTGACTTTTATTTCCTGTCTTATATTTAGTACTTACTTGGTTCTAGGTGCTTTGTATACATTATCCCATTTTATTTCTTAAAATGCTAAAAAAGCTATAATACGGTTCCTGTTTTGCATAAGGAAAAACACCACAGTTTACAGTAAGGACACAACAAATGGCCAGGAAAAGGTAGGCTAAAAGATTCAAGTCAAGGCTTGTGATGTCAGAGTGCCGTCTTGACTTACTTCCAGGCTAGGTTAATGCAGAGATGTCTTGATATGAATGAAACTTGTAAAAACCCTCCAATTTTTTATTTTATTATTTTAGGAACTGAAAGATGTGGGCCATCGTGATCAGATGGCTGCAGCTAGAGGAATCCTGCAGAAAAATGTTCCAATCCTTTATACTGCATCCCAGGCATGCTTACAGCACCCTGATGTTGCAGCCTATAAAGCCAACCGGGACTTGATATACAAGCAGCTACAACAAGCTGTCACAGGCATTTCTAATGCAGCTCAGGCTACTGCATCGGATGATGCCTCCCAACACCAGGGTGGTGGCGGCGGAGAGCTTGCATATGCTCTCAACAACTTTGATGTAAGTTATATTTGGGAGGAAACTTTGGGCTCTTCACCAGCTGCCAAAAGATAACTGGTTCCTGGGGAAATATAATCAAGGCTTGTGATGAAAGCCCATTTTTCAATTAAATTTGTAATCTAAGTAGAAAAAAATTGTTATGAGTCATAAGTGTACTTTATTGTAACTTGGCTTAAAGCATTTTTCTTTTCTTTCTCTCCTTTTTCCAGTGTGGTTAAACTTCTGCATTCTTTTATGCAACTTACGTTTCCTTGTGTGGTTGTTTTTTCCTTTTAATATGGTCCTTATTGAGACTGAGTCTGGTTCATTCCAACCAGGATTTTGACCATCTGACAAATGGACCTGTGACAGATACAGAAGCAAACAAAGTGTGTGGAGGCTTCGTCTCTGGGGAACTCATGGTCTAGTGAGAGGTGTAGATAAATTATACTGCTGCCATCTTAACTTTACCTGACTCTATAGACAGATTGCTGTTCTCTGTGATTTGCTTTGAGCCATGAACACAACAATTTGTCCACGTTGAAACAGATTTGAAATTCAATTTTTTATCATAATGCTTTTATAGATGATGCCCTAGATCTCTCCTGTGTATAGATGTGTACCTACTATCCTTGGTCCTCACATTAATGTATTGTGCTTTGTTTTTAATTCTAACCCAGAGTGAGTCATGACCTCCAGTAGGTGGCAGTAGTTTAAGGTTGTTGTTTTTTCTTTTTTTTTTTTTTTGAAATTGGGTCTGGCTATGTAGCCCAGACTGGCCTCCATTCCACCACCCTGCCTCAGTCTCCCCATGCGCCACCATGGCTAGCTTTGTTTTAAACCAGTTGTTAGAAAAAACAGGTATAGATATCATCTTTCATAATTGAAATATTTTGAAGTATAGCATCAATGTGATAGAATGTATTTTGTTTTCAACAGCTTTTTTATTTTTTAAGTTTTTTTAAATTTTATTTATTTATTTTTTTGGCTTTTGTATCTTCTCTGTATTTGAACATGGGTAATTGGCTCTTGCTGATATGCAGTGATTCAGGCCTTTTCATAAAGCATGAGAATAGAAGGTAGTGTTATGCCTAAAGACGATGGTATTGGAATTGAGCTTTTACATAGAGTTTTATTTTTTTGTATTGCAGAAAATTAAACTCAAGGTCTCATCCATTCACGCTAGGCAAATTCCCACTGAATTTAGCGTCTGGTTCTTCTCTCACAGAATTAAACATGAAATGACCTTTACAGTTGTTAGGCTACATCTTGTAACATACTCCTACCATTGTTTTCTTCTGCTTCAGATTTGGTAACATTAGTTATTTGTCTTTTCAAGGTACTAAGGACCATGTTTGCACTAAATTGAATAGTAGATTAGAAAACCCCATTTTTTTTTTTTAGGGTGACAATTTCTTCATTTGTAAGATGAGGGGGCTGTACTAAATAATCTCTACATTATAGTTCTGTGACAGTGTCACAGTCTGTGACCATTTCTTCACTGTTGTGGTCCAGAAGGTGTTGTGTCGTTTCCTCCCCAGGACTTGACAGTATTGGAGGTTCAATGCAGGGCCTTGCACATGCTTCGGCCAGTGCTCCACTGCTGAGCTACTTCTCCAGCCCTGTCTGCAACCTTGATCAGAGAAGTCCTCTGATAACCAAATCCAGCAAGAAAAACAGTCTAATAATTAACTGGAAGTGTTGCATGATCACTTTCAAAACTGAAGGTTCTTTGGAAGGAAAGAGAGAAATGTTTACTCTCTGAAAAATACCAAGCTTTTGGCAGGAAAAAAAATTGGCATTTAAGTTGAAATTATTAAGGACATACTCTATGAACAAAAGAAAAAATTAAAACCAAAATATTTGTGTAGACATTTATTGATGTGAAGGTCAGTTGTATTTAATGGGCGTGTGAATAATTGATCATAAGTTCATTATAAATGCATTTCTTCAGGAGCAAAAGTCAGTATTTTAATTGTTTAAAATTTTTTATGCTCAAGCAGTTCTGTCTTATAGCAGTTACAGACTGCACATAAAGAGAGTTCTTATTTTCCTTTTAATCATCATTTGATAATTTTAATAACCAATACTATGCAGGCTGACCTTTAGATGTTTAAGGAAACTAGTATGAACATGATACATTGCGTTTGCATTTGTGATATCATACTTTATTCAGGCCCTGTTTGGTTAATAGTGCCCTCTTTGAGAAGTGATTGCTGAATGGGTTGGCAACGTACATGGGGTGGCCTTTGTTATGAAGAACGAGTTTTAGGTGTTGGGATTACATCTTGATATTCCTGATCAATACTTCCCTTGCCTTTTGAATAACTGAGGGAATAGAAGTGAGTATTAATATCAGTAACACTTTCTCTGTAGAAACAAATCATTGTGGATCCCTTGAGCTTCAGCGAGGAGCGCTTTAGGCCTTCACTGGAGGAGCGTCTGGAAAGCATTATTAGTGGAGCTGCCCTGATGGCTGACTCATCCTGCACGCGTGATGACCGGCGTGAGCGCATTGTGGCAGAGTGTAACGCTGTCCGCCAGGCTCTACAGGACCTGCTCTCAGAGTACATGGGCAACGTGAGTGTCAGAACTTCTCTTTGAACTAAGATGTCTGAGGAATGTTTTATGACTGTTGGTGGCTTCTCAAAAAACATTCGTTCGTTCATTCATTCATTTATTCATTCATTCATTCACCTAGAATGATGTTTTTATCTACACGTGGCTGGAGAAATGGCTCAGTCTTTAAAGTCTTGCTATACAAGGGTGATGACTTGAATTCAGGTCCTTAGTACCTATGTAAAAAACTAGGTATGGTGGTTCTTGCCTATAATCCCAGATCTGGGAGGTAGAGGCAGGTGGATATCTGGGTCTTATTAGCCAGCCAGTCTAGCCAAATCTGTGAGCTCCCAGCTCAGGAAGAAACCTGTCTAAAAAAAGATAACCTGGAAAGCAACTGAGGAAGACACCAGAGGCTTCCACACACATGTGCACATCTATGCACCTGTACATCAGAAAGAAAGCAATGTTATAAAATTTGATGTTTGACTTTTTCAACTGTAGAAATACCGTAACTGTTGATTTTCTATCTTTATATGCCTTTCCTTCTCCTTCCCTTATACTTCTGCCACTCCAATTATTTAGTTCCAGCTTAAGATTACTGTTATTTAGACTGAATACCCAGTATTTTGCTGTTCTAAGGGAGGAATAAATAAATAAAAGTATCTTAAAGGATCGCCTGTGCTCCTGCTAAACAGACTGCCCCATGCTGACACTACTTTGCTTTGTATAAATAACAGTGGATCTGAGTCTTTGGCTGTGGTGTGCTGAGAATGAATGACCTCATCCTTGAGCACTTGATATAGTGAAGATGTTGTTACTGTGTACAATAGAGAACTGTTTCATTAACTATTAATACATTTTAATATTTTTCAAAGTAAAGTGTTTTAAAGGGAGAAGTGATGAAACAAATTAGTTATTCCTAGTGGTTTTATTTTTGTTTTACTTATTTAATGAACACTTTTACAAGTAAAGCTATTGGTCAATGGTCTTTTCTCATATGTTCTTTGCTACACATTTTGCTTTGTTCACTTACATGCCTTTATAAATGAAGGGGTAACGGTGAGCCATGATGCTGTTCCTCGTGTGAAGATGAGTGCTTTTCTGTTGTACCTAATTTAACCATGTTGTGAAGTTGGTGAAGCGTCATATTTTAAGTTGTTGCCATGCTTTGATTGTAGGTGGTCTGACTAAGAAAAAGGAGATTAGAAGTTGAGTTAGATAGTGGTTGGTAGTCACAGTGGAAATATGGGATGCGTTAAAAACATGCTGGTCTGTGCTTGAGCATAGAAATGTGAAAACGTATATAGGTTGAAGAATATCTGATAATGTAGGAATCATGAACCAGAGCATGCATGTGGATCGTCTGTTGTTTTGTGTAGTGCTGAAGGTCATGTAGAAGTGTCTAGTGCATTTGTGATTAGGAAACCACTTTGAATATACTCCAATAGAAGTACGGTAATATAGAGCTTTCTAAATAGTCTCCAAACAGCCCTTGAATTACGGGATTGCTCAGACTCTCCCCAGTCACTCTGGTCATGAGTAATCTGATTTCTCCCTTGGTTGTCGTGTAAGTAGTGTTACTTTCTCCTTATGCTGTGGATATAGGAAAATGTATGAACATTTTACTGAATATACACTCAGATTACAATGAAGCACTCTTAGGTGGGCACTAGGATAATACTTGATGTTTAGGCTAAAATTTAAGTATTGTAGTGGGGGTCATGAAAGAACTTTTCTTGAGATTCAGATTGGGAAATGATGTTTGGCTATTTCTTTTCCTCATCAGTTCATGTAACATGGAAAGGCTCAGTCTTGTCAAGAGTTAATAGAAAAGCCAGGAGTGATGGCCTACACACTCTACAGGCAGTTGAATCTCTGAGTTCCAGGCTAGCCAGTAATACATAGTGAGACCCTGTCTCAAAATTAATGGAATTAGCGTTGAAAAGAAGGCCCAGTTAAGTGTTGTTTGTTTTTGCTCTTTTGTGGGTGTGTGTGTTGGGGGGTGCTCACCACTCAGCTCTAAAATAAATCACACATGGAGGCCTATTCTTACTTATAAATGCCTGGCTTTAGCTTGGCTTATTTCTAGCCAGCTTTTCTTAACTTAAAATTATTCTATCTTTTGCCTCTGGGCTTTTCCTTTTCTATTCCAGTATACATTTCTTTGTTTCTTACTCCGTGGCTTACTGTGTAGCTGGGTGGTTGGCCCCAGATGTCCTCTTTTTTCTCTGGCTGCTGCATCTTTCCTCCTGGATTTTTCCTTCTATATATTCTCTCTGCCTGCCAGCCCCGCCTATCCTTTTTTCTGCCTCGGTATTGGCTCTTCAGATCTTTATTAGACCATCAGGTGTTTTAGACAGGCACAGTAACACAGCTTCACAGAGTTAAACAAATGCAACATAAACAAAAGTAACACCTTAAAATAATAATCTACAACGGTTAAGAGTGGTTAAGAGTGTTTCCTACTCTTCCAGAGGACCCAAGTTCAGTTTCCAGTACTTGTGGGCAGCTCACAGCCAACTGTAAGTCCAATCTGATGCCTTCTTATAGTCTTTGAAGGCATTGCACTCAAATCCACAAATCCACATACAGATACACAAATGTACACATAATTAAAAATAAAATAAAAGGTGAGGGTGAGGTGATGGCACATGCCTTTAATCCTGGCACTTGGGAGGAAGAGGTAGGTGGATCTCCATAAGTTCCAAGCCAGCCAGAGCTACATAGTGAGACCTTGCCTCAATAAAATCAAATGAAATCTTTTTTAAAATAAGGAATAAGTGTAGATAAGGAATTAATGTGGTGAAGAGAAAAGAGAAAGGCAGTGGAGCACATTGAAGAATGGAGAAGTGGCCCAAAGAATTATGAGCAACTGTCCATAGGCTTTGCTTATGAAACACCTGGAAATATTTCAAACCCCTAAGAACAATCATAATTTAACTGGCCAGTTTTATATTAACATATGTTATATACAGAGCAATGTCTTGAACATCATGTAAGAGGAGGTATGAGACTCTTGATTCATTTTGAAACAGACTGGTTCTCTACAAGGAGATAGTAAGAATGTCATTAATGGCACAGTAAACATTTTATAGGAATTGGGGCCTGGAGAAATGACTCATTGGTCAAGGGTGTGGGCTGCTCTTGTTGAGGACCCAGGTTTGATTCCCAGCACCCAGATATGGCTGATAACCATCAGTAACTCCAGTTTCAGATGATCTGAGGCCCTTGTCTGGCCTCTAGGGTCTCTGGCATACACATGACAAGCATGCAGGCAGACATCCATATAAATAAAAACAGTAAAAGAAAAAAAATGCTAAGTGCTTAATTAACACCAGCACTCTCCTAAGAAAATGTCATAGGAATTGCAAGGAGGTTGAGAGTTGTGCCATTCATGCATTATACAGTTAAAAGTACTTATGCTCTTGCAGAGGATGCAGGAGTTGTCCATCACCCCCTACCCCCATTTCTTTATTTTAAACTGGCTTGAATTTCTCCATTTCTCTCTTTGGCTTGCTGGGTCAGACAAAGCCGAGCCTGTGTCTTCAGTAGGACGTTGTTGATTGTGTTGATGGAATTTCCATGTTTCCCTCCATCTCTAGCTGAAGACAATTTTAAACTGTACCGTTACTTACTATCTCCTCAATGCTTGCAGTTTTGCACCTACTTGTATATATATACTGCCTTGAATTGTTACTTAATTGTGTTTCCTTTATTAATGTCATTTCTGAAACTTTTGGAAGCCTTCTGAACTATTAAAAAAAAACTCTTATGGTCTGTATAATGCTAGAAGAAGTACTCACTGAAAGGATGCTTAATGAATTCATGCTGACTTGGGAGAATGAGTAAAATGAATGGATATTCATAGTGCTAAGAATTTGCATGTGTGGAAAAAGAAAAAAAACCCCAATCTTACTCTTATAGACTGTGTGTGTGTATGTGTGTCTTCTTGAATGTCTTGTTATACAGGTAACATTTTTTTTGGCGAAAAAATTAAACCCAAGGACTCTGAAGTAGGTAATTAGTAAAAGTAATGTCTTAGGTCAGAATGAGGTCAAACTTAAATTAGGTGAATACCAAATTCTGCTTTAAAGGCTCTAAGGGCAAGGAGGCCAGCAGCCTGTTTGCATCGTAGTTTGAAGGGATGAAAAGTTAAGTAGTCTTGTCTTTATAGTTCACTCACTGTATAGGCTGCAAATGATAGATGCTGATGTAAAAGTAATACAGCTGACTCTCTTAACATGGAAATGCCACAGATGCACGACAGTGGAAGGGTTTAGAGTAGATCCTTGTGGTTTTACAAATGCCTGCTCAGTTCCATTAAAGTCAAACCTGCTGAATGTGGGTCAGCTTACTTTGCTTCTCATCTATCAGCCTAAAGTTGCACTGGGTATGGAGGATCTAGAGAAAAAAACCAGCTTTGGATGAGTGTCATAATCTTTGAGATTTCAAAATAAGTGCATTGAAACAATTAAGCCTGGTGTGGCCGTGCATGCTTTCATCAGTCTCAGCGCTCAGGAGACTGATCTGCAGGAGGACTGACTGAGTTTGAGGCCAGTCTAGGCTATATAGTAATAAAACCCTGTCTCAAAGGAAAAAAAAATTTTTAAACCTTAATACTTAGTTCTGTATATAAGCACAGAATACTTGCTTAAGTAGGATTTACAGTTTGCTGTCAGGTTAGTTTAACACAATGTTTAGGGCATAAAGGACACTCAGTGTTTGAAATGAAATCCATTTGATTTTATCTTCAGCAGTCTTACTCAACAGTGTGTGGTCATATATAACTGGAGTGAGGGCTTGTAAAATTGGTGAGAATAAGCTTTATTCTGTGGACATACATAGCTCTGGCTCTGTGCTTTGTCTTGTGTTAGCCATTTGTATAGCCAGAATACTTGAAATTTGACAGATGATCTATCTCTATCTGTCTATCTGTCTATCTGTCTATCAATCTATCTATCTATCTATCTATCTATCTATCTATCTATCTATCTATCTATCTATAGAGAGAGAGCTAT